GCCACGGTGTTAGCCACCTACGAGCATCATAATCTCTAGAAAATAGGGTAGTATGATGGCCCGGGCCGACTGGCGGAAAGGTGAAAAGCCCGTCAGAAGCATGCTTTTTACCAGGATCCGAGGGAGCAGAAGGTCTTCCCGCCGAATGTTATAAAAACCCCAAGGATCCAAGCAGAAAGGGGGTTATCTTTATCTTTCTCAAGCTTTAACACAAAAACTCATATATTCATAACACTTTATATCAGAGCCGTGGTACTGACTTGATCGTCGGAGTGCTAACTCCGGCATCAGTCCGGCTTTCCTTTCTCTGCAGATTTTCCGCCATAGCAGGAAGGACAGCTCATCAACTACGTTGTTCTGGAACGGATCACATATCCTCCAATGAAAGTCGACAAGTCCATTACGAAAACCGGAATCTGTTCAACGGGAAAGTTCGTTATGTATTATATATCAAGAAAATAAACATTTAAAAAAAAAGATAATCGAACCTTTTCGCTGATGACTTCTTGAATAATAAGGCTGTCAGTAGAGACACTAGCGATAACTTCGGCTGCACTGGAGACGTGTAAATCGAAATAGCCGATGTCTTGCCGTAACACTGCTTTTAAGTATTTGATTCGTAGTCTTGAAGCTTGTCGTTCGGATGTTCTTGTCCAACAGTATCCCTCTGATGAATTTAACTAATCGATTAAAAGAAATGAAATCAAATCGTACGTATTTTAATTTAATGTCGATTTTCGATGATTATGAGAAATTATAGTTACCGAGAAAACACGAAACCCACTGTCCGCAAGCTAAGTAACAGAGAAGCAGTGCATTCTGTGTGGCCAAATTTTGTGAAAATAAATTCAGTTAGCTAAATTACGCATGAATAAAATGACCAAGGTAAAAAAAAATATGCATGAATAAAATCGAATATATGTGACGCACCTCTTTGACGTGATCAGTCAAATACGACCCCGTAACGGGATTATTAGCACTGCTGCCGATGGTGTTCATAAGCCTGCTGTAGAGAAACAGAATCAACGGCACGGTGATTCCATCCCCGACAGCTCCCAAGAATCCTAGGATCATCAGTAACTTATCAAAACCATCGGCGAACGTGAAAATCGACCCCGAAAAACCGTGCGTTGATCGTTTCTTATGGAACGTCGTCGTGTTCTTGTCTTCGGCCATCTTTCGCTAAATTAAAGACAATAATAATGGAAATTCATGTAAGCTAATTTGGAGCAACTGATTGAAGTTTATAAGTTAGCACAAACTGTGTCTTATATAAGCAAACATATTCCCATACAAAGATGCTTATATTATTCTGTACAATATTCGAGATTCATGGTGATTTGGAATTATTGTACTATACAATGATTCACTTGCCACTCATTGCATCATCTCTTTGTTAAAATAAAGTCAATTTACAGCATATTTTATTTTAGGGTAAATTACGAAACACCCCTGAATTTAGGCTAAATAACAAAAAAAACCCCAAACTATCATTAATAACCAAAATTCTCATCTGATTAATAACTGCCGATTGAGTTTTTTTAACAGAAAATGTATAGAGTCAATTATATAAAGGGTTTGGTGTAAAACGGAAACAAATCTCATGAGGGTTTTTGGTAATTACGAATAAGTGGGATATTTCTCGTTATTTAGCCTAAGTTCAGGAATTTTCGTAATTTACCCTTTATTTTATTGATTTTTTTTTATTTTTAATCATTTTTCGCTACATTTACAAACAACAGAGGAAAATCATTACAGCTTCATTATTTGTCAGAGAGCCAAAGAAACACCGCATTAGTACATTAATTAATTATAGGGATTTTTATGCAAAAGTCCCCAACCAAGCATGTTTATTATTCTAGGTATAGGGGACATATCTCTTTCACCAATAAGCCCATCCCTTTAATATTTATTATAACTAAAGGAAACATTCATGTATATCCCAATATTACCCTCAATCATTTATACCCAATTCTTAATTGTAATCCAAATTAATCAATTTTGTCCATAACAGTTCAATTTTGACCACAAAAATTCAATTTTGACTTTTTTTTAGAGTATAATCTACTATGCTCCAATTTCATCCTTTACTTAATTTAATCTCAATTTGAC